CAGGAGTAATTCCTGAGTGCATGAGCCAGGAGTAACCCCTGTGCATCGCTGGGTGTGACCCAAAAAGCAAAAAAATAAATAAATAAAAAGCCCCTGCAGAACTGGGGGGTTTGGGGGAGAGTCGGAGGGGCTGGAGGTGAGATTGGAAGGAGACTTGAGTCGCGGTGTGCTCTGGTTTTACAGGAGAAAGTATTTGTGACTCCTGTGACTAAGGCCTTGGGAAGGGGCGGGCGGGCGGGGCTTCCCCTGGCCTGGCCAGGCCGTTTCCCAGGTCAGCGCCCCAGGGACAGGGTGTGAGCCTTAACCTGCTGTTACAGCCTCCCCTTTCTCAAAGGTCTGAGCTGAATTTAGTTCAGCTACAATAGGTTTCCCAGCTGACTGGTTTCTTCTCCCAGCTTTTGAGCACTATTATTTCAAGACTCTTGATTTCTATAGCCCTCTTGGTGCAAGCATTTAAACCATCCCTTCACTTTCTTTTGGAGTCACACCCAGTAGTTCTCGGGCCACTCTGGGCGTGCTCAGGGAACCAGGCCCTGCCAAGGACCCAACCCGGAGCCACAAAGCCTGCATACCTGCTCTGGGGCTATCTCAAGAGCCTGACGCATTTGTTTTGTTTGGGGGCCACACCCGGCAGCCTTCTGGGTCCCAGGCCTAATCCTAGCTCTGTGCTTTGCGCTTGCTCCTGGAGGTAGCAGGGGACCAAGCGGAACAGGGGCCAAGCTGGCCCTGCCGTCTGCAGAGGGGAGAACTCAGCACTCAGCACTTCGAGCTCTCACCCCAGCCCAGCGATTCTCCCACTGAAAATAGAAATTCTTAAGCTTTCGTATGTTTACAGTTAGGGGATCGATCACTTTGGAAATATTCGCCCCCCCACCCCCAAAGAAGCCCTGTTCTGGGACTGGAGTGGTAGTACAGTGGGTAAGGGCATTTGCCTTGCATGCAGCTGACCTGGCTTCAATCCCCCGGCACCCCATATGGTCCTTGGAGCCTGCCAGGGGTGATCGCTGAGCACTGAGCCAGGAGTAAGCCCTGAGCACTGCCAGGTGTGGCTTTCAAACAACAGTAACCAAAAAGGAAGCTCTGTCATTTTGGTCACCGTCCCCAGTGGCTCAGCCACCAGCCTAGAGAGCCACGAATCGGGGCTCTGTCTCTGGATGTGGCGCTGTGCCGAGCGGCTTCTCTGACTCGCAGAGGTGGCTTGGTAGCGGTTGCTAGCCCTTGGTGACATCCCTTGCTGTGGACAGATGATGTTTATTGACCCGTTTATCAGTTGATGGAAATCCGGTAAAAATCCCTTTAAGATTCATTGTTACCCTCTTCCCCATCTTGAAGCAACTGGCTCTTTGGGGGGGGGGCTGATATTTTGGGGTCACGCCTGGAGCTGTGTGACTGACTTCCAGCCCTGCTGTAGCTGTGGAACTGTCTCCTGCCCACGTGTTGTCCTTCAAGCCCGCGCTACCTGGAGCCGTGGGCCATATGGCCAGGACCTGGTGTGGAGAGTGGCTGACGCAGCCTAGTGGCTGCAGAGGGTGGGGCTCGCGCTTTGGGGGTGTCCCCGTGCTGATGACCTTGTGGACCTGTCCCCCAGGGCTGCCCATGTACCTGAAGTCTCTGCAGTGGGCCTTGGTGGTGATGGCCGTGCTCCTGGCAGTGTCGGCTGTGTCCATCGTCGCCTTGGCCTCCAGAGCAGGTACGTGTTGTGTGTGTGTGTGTGTGTGTGTGTGTGTGTGTGTGTGTGTGTGTCCCTGCCCTCGTCCCCAGCCCTGCCCACACCCTGCAGCAAAAGCCATCGGGGTGGGGACAGGGGCAGCAGCTCTGCAAGCGCCCCTCTATCCTCTGGGGTGAGTGTGTGGGGCCCCAAGGCTTCCAATTTGCACCTTCAGATTTGCATGTGAGGGTCAGAGCTCTGGCCCCAGGTTTCAGGGGCTGGCCTGCTTTCCACCCAGGTTTGCTTCCGGGCTCCAGCTGCCTGCTGCTGAGCACTCTGCTGGGAGTAGCCCCTGAGCACTGCTGGGAGGGGGGGCCGCCCCCTCCCCCCGTTTTTGTTGCACCCTGTTCTGCTGTTTATTTGTCTCATGGGTTGTGGGGATGGTGGGTGCTGAGATTAGACCCTGGAGCGCGCACGCACGTACTCAGCCTTTGGCGCCATCTGGCGGCCGTGCAGAGCCCTGCAGCGCCGTCCCACCCCCCTCCTTTCTGGGTCTGTGCTTACAGGCGCGCGGTGTCGCGGGTGCCCCCAGGGCTGGATGTGGTCCGAGGAGCTCTGCATCTACCTCTCGGCCGAGCCCCGGGCCTGGGAGGCCAGCCAGGCCTTCTGCGATGCCCACCATGCTAGCCTGCCCCTGCTAAGCCACACCCAGGTGAGTAGTGGGGGGTGAGGGGGTGTCCCTCAAAAAGCTGCCAAGGCCCAGAGAAGTAGAGGCGTCTGGGAGTGGGGGTGGGGACCAGACATCCCTATCCAGCAGGAGCATAGGACCCCGAAACGGGGGGGGGGGGGGGGGGGGGCTTGTCTTCCTGTAGCTGCGGCCAGTTCTATTCCCAGCACCACCGGTGGTGAGCACAGCCGAGATCCCTCCCTCTCCCAAGTGGTAGTGAACTGGGGTGCTCCCATCTGGCCTGGAGCTCAGAACCCCGGTTTTGGGCTGGATGCCTGGAAGGCGTTAGTGGCTGTAGAATCAGGTGTGCTTGACCAGTGCTGGGCTACAGATCGTCCCAAAGTCCACAACTGAAGACGTGAGCCAATCTGGGGCTGGAGTGAAAGCACCAGGACCCCAAGCCTCCTCAGTCCTAACGCCCCAGACCATCAGGCCCACGAAGCTCACCCGAAGTGACCCAAACTGTCGAGGGGCCTCCCCACACCCAGCAACAAACAGAGGTGCTCAGGGATCACTCTTGGCAGTGCTTGGGGAACCGTAAGGGTGCTGGGGATCGAACCCGGGTTGGCCACATGCAAGACAAATGCCCAACCTGTTGTAGTATCGATCTGGCCCGCCCCTTATAATTATAGTTTTGGGGGGCACAGGTGCTCAGGGGTGCTTGAGGAGCAATGATGGGTTTCTGGGCCCCGCGTGTGGAGCCCGTGCTCCCGCCCTCTGTGCCCTCCCCTGCCTGGCAAACCTCCGTTTCTGGTTCCCATCCTGATGTGCTCAGGGAGAGTCGGGTCAGCTGAGCCGGCGCCCACAGCCCATGTCCCGCTTCTTGCCCTCAGGACATGCTGGCAAGGTTCCCGGTCACTGTGGATTCATGGGTGGGGGCCCGGCGAGGCCCCCAGGGCTGGCACTGGCTCGATGGGGACCCTCTGCCACCCCAACTGTGAGTATCCTGGGTCTGGGCAGGGCTCCCTCTGTCCCTCTAGTCCCCAACGCCAGGCGGGGCTGCCGTCCTCCTCTCTGCTCTGGGCCCTCGTGGCTGCCGGATTCCCCTCCTTCCTCCACGGCCAGGACCCCTGGGGTCTGCTTTACCTTTACACCCTGTCACTCCCCCCACTTCTCACTGGGTCTTCCGCACCCTGCCCAGGCAGGGCCCGGGCCTGCTACAGCTCAGGGGTGTGGTTCAGTCCCCCTTCCCCTGGGGACTCGCCTCCCCCATCATCCTGAGCCCCTCCACCTTCTCCTCCAGACTCCCCGCGGAAGACGAGGCACAGCTGCATCTCGGGTGCGGGGCCCTGCGGGCCGGGAGGCTCGTGGCCCTGGACTGCGGCTCGCCCCGAGCCTGGGTCTGCATCAGGGGCACCAAGTGACTCGGGTCCCAGCTGGCCTGGGCCTCGTCCCTGAGGGGCACCCCAGGAGCCGGACGCCACTTCCTGGCAAGGGACTTGCTCCTTCACCTTTTGGGGTGCTGGGGGCATCTCCCAGAGCAGCAGCAGTTTCTTGGTGTGACTCTGTCGCATTCCAGGCTCTGCATTTCAGCAGGATGAAGCAGTGAGCACCTGCCCCTCACGTTGCTTGGCTTGGACTTGGTGGGGGGGGGGGGGCACATGCCCAGCAGCTGACTGGAAGGCTCCATGTGCAGTACGGGGTGGGGGGGGGTAGCACAAACAGGTGCAGGCAGGGCCTCTGTACTCTTGCCAGGGCTGTGGATTCAGATGCATGGCCCCCGGCAATAGGGAAGCACCTATGCCCTCAGCTCATCAGCAGGCTGGGCTGGACGCTCGAGTCTTGGGGACTGTTGGCCTCTTCAAAGGGCATGGAACCCCCCAACCCTGCCATAGTGGGGGAGGCCGGGGCCTGAGAGAGGGATAGAGGGGTCCTGTGTCCAGTATTGGGGATGCGCACTCGACCGCCACGTCCATCACAGCCCTGGCATAAAAACCCACCTCGAAGAAAGATACTGGGAAACTTGTAGGGCTGTGGGGGTGGAGAAATGGACTCGGGGGTTGAAAGCACTGGCCTCACATGCAGCTGACCCTGGCTTGATCCCTTACGCCACCGCCTGGACCCCCAAGCACCTGCAGGACGAGGACCGAGAACTGCAGGGAAGCAGAAGAAACCTGTAGTCTGGGTCTAGGGGGGCTCAGAGGTCGAGCTCCAGGTGGGGACCCAGAGCCCCAAGGTGGCCAGCTTCTACTCAGAAGGTGGCATCTCAGATACAGGGCATCAGTCACACTCAATAAAGCAGGTCTGAAGAAAGGTGGCAGCTGTGGTCATTTGGGGTCCCTCGAGCCTGTGGTCAGCACCGGCTTCCAACCCTCTGGTCCCATCCTGATGCCCCAAGTCCCTTCCCGTTCTCGGAGCCTCTGCAAACCCATCAGTGAGACAGGGCTGGGAAGGGCGGGCACCCAGTGTCCAGCCCTGGCCCCTGCTGACGGTTGTGGGTTAGGTTTGTCTCAGCGGTGGCTCCCGGCGCCCTTTGACAGAGAGCACTTGCCTGGCCTCTCCGGCTTGTGTCCACTCGGGTTGAGCATCAGAAACAGGCTAGGAGTTGTTTGCGTGGGTGAAGTCTATTGCACAGGGAGGCGGGCACCCCATTTGAATTGCTTCAAACTTGCCACTTGCTCTCAGCTGAGGGGCAGAACCTGAAACCGACAGATCTTGAGGTGGCAGTGGCTGGGTCACGGGCAGTGGTGCTCAGAGGTCACCCCCACTGTGTTCAGGGGATCATGATGCTAGGGCTGAGAGTTTGAACTGGAGCACTAATACAGTGGGGAAAGTATTTGCTTTTTTTGCACATGAGCTACCAGGGTACTAGGTCTCCAGCACCCCATACAGTCCTCCTATGTGCCGGGAGCCACGCAAGACTGGAGATTTGACCCCAGGCCCCCACATGCTCTTAAGTCACTTGAATGATCCCTCGGTTCCAGATGGGGTTTAAAACACGGTCTTTGGGCGAGTGATACACAATGGGGTGGGAGCTTATCTTATATGCAGCCCTCCCTGTGTTCGACCCGACACCCCATAGGGTCCCCTGAGCAATGCCTGAAGGAATTCCTGAGTGCAGAGCCAGGGGATAACCCGAGCATCGCCAGGTATGCCCCCCCCCCCACACACACACACAGACACCACCAAGTTGTTATTGTTTCTAGTGCCTGAGACAACCCTGGCTCTGAGCCAGGGGCTCCAACCTGCCCTCCAGCTGACTCCAGTAGGAGTCACTGAGTGGGCTCCGGGGACCACAGCGGGTGCTGGGGATGGAACTTGGGTAGGCGGTGGGCAAGGCAAGCGCCCCACCTGCTGTACTCTCCAGCCCTGTGTTTTTGGGGCCACACTCAGCAGTGCTCAGAACGCCGCATCTAGGTGCATGAATCAAGCCGGGATCAGCCACATGCCATGCAAGTGCCTGACCCCCTGTACCGTTTTGGGGGCCCGTCAGACAGCAGGTGCGCTGAGTCCCAGTCTAAGGCAGGGATGAGTGTTACCGTGGGAGGGAGGCACAGGGCACATCTGGGCCAGCCCTGCCAACCTACAGGTGCCTCCCCTCAGCCAGCAGAAGCCCAGCAGGCACTGATGTGGGGTGTCATTCCTCTGCCCATCCCAGCTGGTCCCCAAAAGGGAACACATGTCAACTTGGGACACAGGCATGTGAAGAAAAGGCTGATGCCCGGGGTTTCTCAGGGAAAAAAAATTTAAAAAACGCCTCGCTCTTCAGAGACACAGACTCCAGAGGCCAGAGCGCGTCCAGCAGGTGCAGTGCTGGCCATGCACATAGCTGGCCCAGGTCTGAGCCCCGGCACTGCCGGGAGAGCCACTGGCCACGAACCGTGGTCACTCAGTTCCAGGAAACGACACCAGTGACAGTGGGAAGAGCTTCACTGGACGACTCCATTGCCCGAGTCGAACCAGCTTGTCGACCGTTTACAAAGGTTTGAAGTGCAGAATGAATCACCACATCCAACAACGGAAGTGCTTCAATGTTAACTACCAGCTCTGGTTCATAGGGCTAATGTTGAAAGGTGCCAGGGAACAGTTTGTAAAAATCCTTTTTAGCCCCTGGTTTGGGGTCACATGCAGCAGTGCTCAGAGTATCAACCTGGGTCTCTGTGTGCAGTTGGGCGAGTTAGCTCCCCAGACCCCAAATACTTTCAACATGGCTCTTGGTTTTACTGGGGGGCTTGGCTTGGTTTTGGGTCAGGCCAAGAGTTTTACCGTTGACCTCTCTCTCTGGCCCATTTGTGGGCGGGTGGTTGGTGAGTGGGCAGGTGGGAAGGAACCCGGAAAAAGTAAAAGGAAACCAGTTTCTCAAGTTTGTCGGAGATGGTCAAGAAGGCAACTTCGAGGATGGCTGGTGGGTGCAGCGTGCTTACCTGCAAATGGCCAACCTGGCTTTGGTCCCTGGCACTCCATATGTCCCCAAGTCCACCCAGAAGGATCCTTGAGCACAGAGACAGGAGTAAGCCCTGAGCACAGCTGGGTGTATGGGTGTACCCCCCTTGCAAAAATAATGGAGGGTTGGGCTGGGCTTAGTGGAAGTGCAGACTGCCTCATACCTAAGGCCAGGGGTTGACCTGTGGCACCACAGAACAAAGGGGTTTTGTTTCAGTTTGTGTGGGTTGAAGAATTAGCAAGAATATTTGAGGGGAGGGGCACTTGGCGTATGATGGCAGACGAAAAGGTGGTCTTACTGGAACACTTAGCATGATAGTTCTTGATTATATATATATATATATATATATATATATATATATATTTGCAAACATGTGACTAAACTTACAGGCACCAAATAACACAAGTACCCAAATTTGTACATGACACCAATTCAATATAATCGCCAAGCCCAACACCACAGTAAGTCTGTAAGCTACAGAATTGCTCTGAAACAATTTTGTTTTTATTTGATGGTGGAACTTGGGCAATGTCCAGCGCTACTGTGGAGATAGGGCCGAGGGGCCATGCAGCATCTGGGACTGAATTGGGCTCGGTGGCACCCAATACAAAGGCCCCTTCTCCCTGGAAAGGGTTTCATGGTGGGGCCACACATTCCTCAAGGGCTGTGCAGATCCCGGGAAGGAACGGAACAGAAATCTCCTCGGGCTGTTCCTTAGCTGAAACGCCTACACATGTACTGCAGCTAACTCGGAGACTGACGCAACCAGGCAGGGAACAAAATACACTCCAGTGATCTGTACAGCTTTCCAAACCCGTTCCGGACTTTGGTGCAGAATGGGGTTTGGTGTCTAACTCGATACATCGCTAACCCAAGATGTCGCATCCGAGAATGCCAGGCACATCTTCATCGACACCTTTCAAGTCTCACTCCACTCTGCGGGCCAGACACCGATACTCACCAACAGACCACGAGAAGCAAAGTGACGAAGTAACAAGGCTGTTTTATTTTGGGAGGGGGTCTTGGTTCACCCCGGGTAGCCCAGGGGAGGAAGTGGGGTGGGTGGCACACAAGGCGAGCTCTTGAACCTGTGCACTCTCCAACAGCTGAAAACGAGGGTGGTGGCCGCTGCTGCAGGCTGATTTTGCAGCTAAGGTCGGACACACTTACCCGTTAGGGAGGCAGGGCTGGCAGCCAGGTACCCCTTTAAGCCTTCAGCCAATTAGCCAAACGTCATTTAGAAGAACCTTTCTCAACCGGAAGCCATGTGGACCCCTGCGGGTTCCCAGGATATTCCAAGGGGGCCGAGGCCACAGGAAGGAAATAGTGGACTGGGGCCACAGGGGGAGTCGTTGAGAAACGGCTGGCAAGGCCGTTCCTTTCTCTCCCAGCCCATTTCCTGCAGCAGTGACTCACTTAGAGGAGCAAAGACATAGTTCCTGGGTCGGGATTTGCTTGCGGGCCATGCCCGGCGGTGTTCAGGGAAATGCTTTAGCCCCTCACTCTCTCTCCAGCCCTTGGAATAACTCTTTAATTACACCACTTTTTCTTTCTTTTTCGCTTTTTGGGTCACACCCGGCAATGCTCAGTGTTTACTCCTGGCTCGTGCACTCAGGAATTACTGCTGACGGTGCCCAGGAGACCATATGGGATGCTGGGAATCGAACTTGAGTTCGGCTGTGTGCAAGGCAAACGCCCTACCCGCTGTGCTATGGCTCCAGCAATTACACCACTTTCATTTTTTTTATGTAGCAGTACTGCTATTTATTCGGCCACCTATGAACTGACTGAATTGGGCATGAACTCCGCTACACCACTTTTATAACTTGACATATTTTTCTCAAATTCTCTAGAATTACAGTAATACCTGTCTGTCCACTACTGTGGTACCAAGTCTTCAACACAGAAATCGTTAGTCTCCTAGGTGTTTGTATTGTTTTTATTTCAGTTTACTGGATGAGGAGAAAAAAAAAAAAAACAAAGTAGCAACAAAACAACAACAAATGAAACCGGCCCCCTCTCCTGCAGGCCAGGCTCTGTCAGCCGGGCCCTGAGTGGCAGCAGCTTCTTCCAGAACGTTCCGCAGCGCTCTCTTCCTGTGCCTTGCACACAGTAAGGCACTCGTGTAGACCACAGGGACGAGTGGCCGCCACTGATTCTGCCCACGGCTTACTGGACAGGCCAGAGCTTAATGATGGGGCGGTGATTGTTTCTTTCATTTTATTATTATTATTTTACAGTAAGGTTGTAGCTTTTATTTTCCATACACACACACAAAAAAACGAGAAGTGCTTATGAAAGAGTCCCCACCCCCACCCCCCTTTCAAAACATCCTGAATGTAGCAATTCAAAAGAACAGAAAGATCAAGACATGTTTGATTTCGAAATTTCAATTAAAAAAGCAAAGTATGTCATGTAACAGCTCTTCAGCTCCCAAATCTAAATAGGCACCTTTAAACAAACAGAAAGGAAAAAAAAAATCTCCCAGTACTTGAATTTCTCCAGTACACGTTCCAGTATAAATGCTCTGAACTGTAACCAGCTAGTAATCAATGGGCATAGAACCTTAAAACAGAAAAGTCGATGGCTTCCCTGCCCCTATCCCTTAATAACGAGAGAGGTGAGGTATTAGGGGATACAAAAGTCAGAGGAAGAAGAATCAAGAAGAGAAATTCCTGAAGCTGCAGCTGCGTGGAACTCGTAAGGAAGACAGCTTCTTACAGGTGTTCCACAGTTCCCAAAGCAAGTCACACAATTTGTTCACTATCACTACTAGTAAAGAGACTAAAGACTCTGCGTCTGCGTGTAGGAAACTGTCCCCTCGGGCTGTCTGACAGGGTCACCAGAACTAGGGCTGTTGTCTGAAGCAGCTGGCCACTGCCCGGCTACCCTCGCTGGCTCGGTGTCTGGGACTAGCAAGAGTGTGACCCCCACCCCCCGGGAGCTTAAGGACGGAGGCAGGCACACGGCTAACATATCTCCCCCGCTTCGCGCTCTTCTGAGCTCCGCCTGTCTTCTGCTCTGCCATTAGCGCACTCATAGGACCGCTTCTGATCTTTCCGATCTCGGTCCCGAGGTGATCTGGCTCTGGAACGCCTGTCTCTGTCACGTGATGCTAAGTCTTGGTCTCTGAATCTTTCTTTTGAGGATCTGAAAAATATTAATTTGAGGAGCAAAATGTGTTGGGAAACCCAAAACCCAAAAGAAAGAGCTGGATAAATATTAAGGTACTGGTAGCGAGGATAGACAGATACCTCCAAGCACGAGAGAGGCAGCCTGCCGACAGGAGGAAGGCCTCGAACCGAGGAGAGACGGGCGGGCCACAGGGTGGCCAGACGCGGCCGCTGAAACGCTGCCCCACAGGGCAGGCTCATGTCTCAGCAATCTTAAAGCTTTCCCAATTCATAGCACGCGTATTTAATACAAAAATAATATCTAGACAACGCCTTTAAAAAGTGAGAAGGTATCACCAAATATTAAAAAAATATATGATGTGGGTTCCAAGTTGGTTAAAAACCAATGGACAGACACTAAAATATTTTATGTGTTGCAGGTCACATACAATCTCTATGGTACATTCTTCTCTTCTTTTCCATCAACCCTGTAACAATTTCATCCACAGCTCCTGGCCACGCAAGAAGGCCCTGAGCGAAGAAATGCTGCCACAGGCAGTGCTGTGAACACTTGCCGTAGGTAAGAGAACCGCGGACTGATATGGCTTTCAATGACCATTTACTGGGAAACTCAGCTCGACTCTTCCTGAGTTCATTTAACAGGGGAAAAAAGAAATACAGACAGATGATCACAGGATATTCTTGATTACCGTAATATTCCTTAGTATCACCTTTCTATTCCCAACTTCCGTAAGAAAGGGCCAAGTGACAGAACAAACCAGAGATTCAAGCGAAAGAAAAGCCCAAGGGACGGGTCAGCAGGAACAGTGCCTCCTACACTCTCAACACCCAGGATGAGGCTATGGCACGGATGAATCACACTGACTCAGTTCTTTACAGGTCCGAAGAACTTTCATGAACTTCATGTAAATCGTGTTCAAATTTGGGGTACGGCCTGAGGAACTGCCGACCAATAATCTGAATCAACTCTCAATTTCTGAGCAGAAAAACACTACTGTGCTCAGGCACAGAAATTTCAGAGAATTAAACAAAAAAATGGCTGAGAGATTATTAATTTTCAGGATGTCATCTTTTTATTATTTTTGGGGGTGCTCACACCTGGCAGTGCTCAAAGGTCACTCCAGACTAAGCTTGGGGACCCATCTGGGACACCAGAAATTGAACTTGGGTCGGCTGCAACAAGTGCCCTATCTGCTGTACTTGTTCTATCAATTTCTCTAAAGCGTGGGGAAAAAAAACAATCCCATGGTGCACTTGACCACACTGGCCCAGGTGCGGGACATGGCCTAGAGGTGGGCAGGAATAAGGGAAACAGCTAAGAGATGACCTGACTAAGGTTTGAGTATAATGTTCAATACATGACCTGTCTGTTCACTATCTGATTCGGATTATCGATGATTCTCACAAAGTGGGCGCTCTGAGCAGAGGAGAAAATACAGAATAATGAGCGTACTTGGCTAAGACCACTGAGTGCATGGAGTTGGCACTGAAGTCTGATGACATGTATCTGAACAGAGCAGGCAGTACAAAAACACAAATGATGCTCATTTACGAAGGATAATGGCGAAGAGAAAGTCGTGGAAAGAATGGACCTATACCTAAAAGCAAATACTTAAAACTAGGGCAAACCATTTTATTGTTTTCATTTTTTCCTGTGCCAGGGGTCAAACCCAGGGCTTCGAACACATCAGCTTTTACCTTAAAATTTAAACTCAGCACGTAAGCAAAGAGCTTGAAATTATGTGTACTGACACAGATTTTAAAAAGCAAACTCCGCTGATTTTTGTTAAAAATACTGAATGTTGTTTGGAAAGGAATAATTTGAGTCTCAGTATAGGGCGTCCTCTTAAGCAAACCAAACCTTTTTGTTTTACAAAAATAATCCTCTTTATGAAGATGCTGACGACCCGGGGCCAGGGGCCACGGAGAGCTGGGGACAGCGTGACACCACTCCATACACTGGGAAGGGTGGGACGAGGAACACCTCTGATGAGGCGCCTTCTAGTCCTGCCACCAAAAACCACGAAGAGCTCAGAGAAAGCACGAACCATGATGGGTAGGAAGTGACAAAGGAAATGTCTGGAATCAACCAGCAAGAGGGCTGTCCAGAGTGCCTGCGCGGGAGAATTCTCCTGGTGCTATTTCCTGAGCATGTACTGCGCCCGGGCTGGAGCGCGGGGTGAGAGGCCGTGCGGCCCGGGCCAACAGGCCCCTCACACATCTCTCCCCACCTGCCGCCCGTTCCTAGGAGATCTGCCATTCCACAGATCTTTTTGCTACCAGAGTTGATCCCTTTAATTATACACTGACTCTATTCACAGAAACCATTTTTTATTATTCTGGTGTTCCCGCATCTAAATGCCTATGTTTATTATATACACTTCCACACTTAATAAAGTGTGATCTAAGTTTGATTATTGTAAAAGATGTCATGATGTAAATAAAGTAACTGTGTTTTTTTTTTTTACGGGAGTAGAATAGTAGAAAGTATACAATTTTATTAAGAGGAAAATTTCAATGTTCTAATAAAGGAAAAAGAGTGAATCTGCTGAGAGTCGGAATTCGTTCACAACGTCTATGTCTGTGAAATCATTGCAATGTACACTTTAAACATCTTACAATTTTATTTGCCAACTATGCCTCAGTAGAGCTGGGGGTGGACAACGTCAACCAAAAATGGCTTGAAACTGGGCAAGAATATAATAAATTAAAAAATATGCCGAGAGCCTATTAACCTACTCAGCGTATGAGTGGTCTTAGAAAATGGCTAAATTGGGGGATCAAAAATATAAAGATTTTCCACAGCTTTCTGTGGTTGCTATCATGGGCTTTATGTGGAGTAATTCATAGAAAATTTAAGACTAGTGGGTCTAGGCACTCAAAAAAATGTTTTTATCATCTCTATGTTAAGGATAGTTGTCAATAATAGTAATAATAATTAAAAAAAAAAAACCATTTGAAGCATGTTCTATAGAAATTACCTGGCTACTGAGTCATCACGTGACCTGAGAAATTTTGGAGCTTGATCTGTGAGAATCGTCAAGGCTAAGCTCCACCATGTCCCAGTCCTCCAAAGCGGAGGACTCGTCCTATCCACACCTCACCGGGGCCAACCCTCCTCGCACTCAGAGCCAAGTTTTCAGGCCGAGGAGGCGGGACAGCATAAGTCTGCAGACCTGCCCCACCCCACTAACTCACACAGCCACCATGAACCCAAGGTACAGAACGAGCCTGCGCTGGGAAAGGAGCGTCAGATCAAAGCTTGGAAAACAATAAGTCAAACAAAGTTAAACAATTCTTTTAATGAGGACTTCTCAGAGCCCCTAATTTGCGAATACATACTGAAAAAAACTCCAAATATTGGTGCTGAAAATTATTTGCCCATGAAGTACTTTTTTCCAAGACACACTACGTAGTGAAAAACAATACCCCTGCACATTTTGGTTCCAAATTCTTATTCTGGGCTCGTAAATATATTCTTTCTAAGCTACCCACATAGGAAAACAAATGTTATACACCCACACACAAATGTGTACATATTACCAGATGCACGTTTCAGCCAACAGTATCCGACTACACGGTTAAGGGAGTTCCGTGTCCCCTCACGGACACCTCAGTACCTCCTCCGGGATCGCTCTCTGCTCCTGTCTCGAGAGCTGTGCCCGCTTCTCTGGTGGCTGCGGCTGCGGCTGCGGCTGCTGGAGCGGGACCTGTGGCGATGGCGCTTCTCTCGGGACTTGGACCGCGTTCTCCTCTTCCGTTCTCGGGACATGGAGCGGGAACGGTGTCGGCGGTGCTCTCTGGACCGGGATCTACACAAACCAAGGCAGAGACGGGAGCTCAGATGGGACTTGGTTCCTCATCGATCGAAGCCACACTCACCAGGGCCCAGGGCTTCACACCCAGGTCGGCTCATGCAAGGCAAGTATCCTGGCCGCTGGACTATGGCTCCTGCCCCAGAAAACCTATTCTTGGGACACTCACAATTGCTTGGGAGCTGCAGTGAACGCCAATTCTATCCGAGTCAGCTAATCTAGACTAAAAGAACTGCAGAAGATTTAATAACTACATACTGCAATATCAAAATAAAAAAAATTAAACACTAGTCTTTCTAGGTTAATCAGTATCGTGCAACTTACCCCAGAAACACACACATTCTCTCATGTATTTAATGAAATAAAGATGCTGTTTATAAATATATTTCTAAACGGGTAGGGCGTTCGCCTTACACGCGGCCAACATGGCCGACCCGAGTTCGATTCCTCCGCCCCTCTCGGAGAGCCCGGCAAGCTACCGAGAGTATTCGATATGCCAGACACAGTAACAACAAAGTCTCCAATGGAGACGTTACTGGGCCCGCTCGAGCAAATCGACGATCAACGGGAGGGAAAAAAAAAAAATGTATTTATAAAGCTGCAGAGACAGCTCCAAAGAGTTGGGCGTTTTGCATGAGCAGCCTTGCATGTGGAGAGCCTGGTTCAGTCCCAGCCACTGCACAGCCCCCAAACACTGCTGGGAGTATACCTGAGCACCACACTGGGCTCAGCCCAGTGTATATATTTGTAGAACCCAGTATATATATTTTTAGAGTATATCCCCTTAAAAAATTGTATTATAAACCTACACACATAGATACACAACTCTATTACATGCCAGGGGATTATAGTGAATGAATGCTTTGAAATTTTAGGCAACCTTTAAAGACATTTTGCATACTTTGGGGGACCGTATGGAATGCCAGGGATTGAACCCGGATCGGCCACGTGCAAGGCAAACACCCTACCCGCTGTGCTATCGCTCCGACCCCTTTAGGGTTTTTTTTTTAAAAATACTTTATTATTGTTAGTTTTGGTTTGGGGGCCACACACAGTGGTGCTTAGGATTTACTGCCATCTCTGCACTCAGGACCCTCTCCTGGCAGACTCGGGGAAACCTGGTTCAGCCGCGTGCAAGGCAAGCGCCCCACCCCCACAGTCCAGGTTCACATGCACTTTTATGGTGGGTTTTCTTTTTGGGGTGGGGGGGTGCTTTTTGGGTCACACCCAGAAATGCACAGGGGTTACTCCTGGCTCACGAACTCAGGAACTACTCCTGGCTGTGCTCGGGGGACCATATGGGATGCTGGGAATCGAACCCGGGTCGGGCCGCGTGCAAGGCAAACACTCTACCCGCTGTGCTATCACTCCAGCCCCCACATGCACTTTTAGAAATAAATATATACACAGTGGGTGCGGGGCTGAGGGTGTGGGTGTGGGACGGGAGAGGACAATCTGGTCGGGCTGTAGCTCGGCAGTGATGTTTGCTCCTTCTCATGGACAGCCCTCATCTGGCTGTGCTCAAGCGGAAGTATGCGGAGCTGAGGATGAAACCCATACCTCCTGCAAGCAAAGCATGAATTCCAGCAGACTGGCTCTCTCCGGCCCCCAATTAGACTTAAAATAAAAAGAAAGAAAGAAAGAAAGAAAGAAAGAAAGAAAGAAAGAAAGAAAGAAAGAGATAGATCCTGGGGCCGGAGAGATAGTACAGAGGGGAGGGGGCTTGCTTTGAAGGGCCAGAGAGACTACAGTGGACAGGAAGCCTGTTTTGCGCGTGGCAGACCCAGGTATGATCCCCAACATCCCACAGGTTCCATAAGCATCACTAGATGTCGCCCCAAAATAAAAGATGAAATTCTAGGGAGAGATAGCACAGCGGGTAGGGCGTTTGCCTTGCACACGGCCGACCTGAGTTTGATTCCCAGCATCCCATATGTTCCCTGAGCACCACCAGGGGTAATTCCTGAGAGCAGAGCCAGGAGTGACCCAAAAAGAAAAACAAAACAAAACAAAAAAAAAAACCACTGAAACACTTTAGTTTTTCCTTAGATTCAGGACATTAGGGTTTGCTTACTGCTCCTGAAATACCTTGACCAACTTCTCAAATGACAATGGATTAGCCTCAAACTACACAAGAAATGTGAGTTCTGAATCTGCTTATTCATTTAAAAACTATTTAATCTATAAAAACCATCTCTCAAAAACAGACTGTTTATACTTATACTACGTAACACTTACCTTTTGGGGTTCTTGCTATGTGATCGAGACCTAAAAGACAGAAAATCTTATTCCAGCAAAGTAATATAAATAAGAGTGAAAGGTTCGATGTGCTGATAAAATTAAACTATTCAGGATTTCTGGTTTTTAAAATGACAGAATTTTGGCCTTTGGGTCACACGTGGCAACGTTCGGGGGCTCCTCTTGGCTCTATACTAAGGAATTATTCCTGGCAGTGCTCAGGGACCATGGGTGAAGCTAGAAACCTAATGACCCACTATACTATCTTTCTGGCCTGTTAGAAATCTGATCCCTGTAAACCTCATTAACCTTACCTGGGGAGTGTGGGAGTTTGGGGCCACACCTGACGGACTCTGGGGTTACTCCAAGCTCCGTGCTCAGATCAGTCCTACCAGTGCTTGGGAACCATACTGGGTGCCAGGGATCAAACCCAGGCCAGCTGTGTGCAAGGCAAGTACCCTACATGCTGTAGTATCTTTCCGGCACCAAGTATCATTTTACAAATATAAGGAGTGTAATCACTACACACTTTTCTTTTTCTCTTTGGTTTTTGGATCACACCCAACAGCGCCCAGTGCTCAATATTGTCATTTATATAGTGTCAGATATTACAATACAGTTATTATCTCCATAGAAACTCAATATGACAAAACCTAAAGTGCTTCCCTAAACTATGGGAAATAAAGACTTTAAGAGCTTTATTGATACCATAAGCTCCTGAATAAATGAAATTGTTTCATTGTCATCTGATAGGAAGAGAAGATCAACAAATGAAGTGGGGTTAAACATCAAAAACAGACCGAGCTAGTCATGGATTACATTGGGATTTACTTAGTTGAGGCCCATCTGCTGAGAGAGCACGGAGAGCCCAGAGGAGGGAGACGCAATGAAGAACCTGCCACACGATACACACTTCTCGGGACAAAGACTGTAAGAGAAGCTGTGGGTCCAGGTCACAATGAATGCTCTGAAGTTTACATCCACTTCATCAAACGATCTTTGTTAGCCCTCACATGACAGTATTTTTGTATGTTTTTCGGCCACACCCAGCAATGCTCAGAGGACCATATGGGATGCTGGGGATTAAACCCAAGTGAGCCCGCGCAAAGTGCCCTATCCACGGTGCCATCTCGCAACCGAACATGACAGAGTCTGTAAACAGGCAACATTTCCCAGGTGCAGGTTCCTTATTAACAGCTGACACTCTCTTTTCAAGGACCTGGGTACTCAGTTCTTTGATGCTTACCTCCTCAGCTTCTCCCTTTCTTCCCTTTCCCTTTCTTCTCTTCGTTTCAGGCGTTCCTGGTTTCTTTTCTCCTGCTTCTCAGCTACAACTCTCTTGAAAATACAATGACAGAACAAACAATATATGAGGATCATAATGGAACAGGTCACTCTTTTCTGTCTGGGGCTACACTTGGAGGCGCTGGGCTCGAGGACTACACACAAATCTCTGAAGCACTGAATCCCAAGCAGGCTGTCTGCCGCAGGCACAGCCTGGATCCGAGATGCCTCCCTGGTGACGAGTCCGCTCTTAAGAAGCACCACTCGGAACTTCACTCTGGCTTCCATACCCGGAGTGTAACATCTAAATCTATATAATAACGATTCATCTTGAAATGATGCCCGGTATAATGGTCAGGCTTGAAAGTCTGGTTTCCTGAGTCGGGCCACCTACTCTGGAGCAGGAAGCTTGCCAGAACGGGGCGGGGGAGAAGAGCAGCAGTTGGAAGAGAGAAGGAACCACTCTCACAATGACAGCTGGAAATGATCACCATGGATGAGGACTGAGTGCCGAAAGGAGGTAAAGATTAAGGCACAGTACCCCTTCAGTGACGGCAATGCAAACCACAGTGCCCAACGGAAAAAAGGAAAGTGTCTGCCTGCCACAGAGGCAGGCTGTAGTGGGAAGGAAACTGAGGGCACTGCTGGAGGGAAGTGGACACTGGTGAAGGACTGGTGTTCTGAACACTGTACTTTGTATTCTGAGTGACACTCAATCATCAACAACTTTGTAACATTGTATCTCACAGTGATTACTATAAAAAAAAAAAGAACCTGATTTCTAGGTGCTAGAGTGATTACACACCAGGTGGGATTCCTGAGTGCAGAGACCAGAGAAAGCCCTGAGCACTGCAGGTGTTGCCTTGAAACACCACCACAACAAATTAGTATAAAATTTAGCTCGCAAACATCTAATATCATCCAATGTAAACTGCCAAGTATAGAGGTATTTTAAAAGTTTCTCAACCATCACCCATTAAATGAAACTCCATATTAATGAAACAAAGTAAAAAAACCATACCAAATATATATGTGTGTGTGTATGCGTATATGTGTACACACATGCGCGCGTGCCAAAAGAATGAAAGCCTACAACAGGATTAAATAAGAGGTACTAATTTACCAATGTACCTTTAATTCTTCAAGCTTTTCTCTGATTTCAATAAATCCCAGGTGCAGTTTTCCCCCAAAATGGTCCGCCAGTCGCCGGTCATTATCATGGAGCCCTAAATAGGCCGAGCAAACCTCACACACGCGAAGTTTCTGCTGCTGGAAACTGGAAGCTGGCATAGAATTCCGATAAACTTCCTATATAGAAGTGAGACGAAGAATGTCAGTACACACCTCAGCAGTTCAGTTCCATAAAATACACAAAAGCATGCTTCTTTGTGGCGCTCATTACTCATCGTGTCCAGTCTCACGTCGCCTTCACTGCATGGAACCATCTCAAATGTCTCTTGCCCGGAACAGCCCTCACAACTCGACCTGACACGAAGCACGACCTCCTGCAGCCCGCCCAGCGTGCGCAGGCCACTTCCTGTCATCTGTCAGGTGATTAGCGAGCCTGTCTCCCACGGTGTCACTGCTTCCTTCCAGCCAAGTTTTGGTTCTGAGTCACACCCAGCAGTACCCTGCCCGGGGCAGCTCCCAGTGCTCTGCTCTCTGGGCAGTGCTCAGGAGACCAAGCACTAGTGTCCCTCCTCGTCAGCTGTCCCACTGGGCTCAAGGCACGTTGCTCTGTTGTGGGGGGAGGGAAGGGAGTGTTTGTTCTTACTTATTTGGGTTTTAGAGCCACAGCCCATGCATTATTCAGTCTTGGGTTGAATCCCAGGCACTGGAGAACAAAACATAAAGCAGAAACATCTGTTTCTTACTCGTCTTTCTACTTAGTCCCTGGTAAATAAGTAAGAGAGAAAGTCTAACTTAATAGTAATGGCAGGGTACCTTAAAAAGAAAAGAAAAGAAAAGAAAAGAAAAGAAAAGAAAGAAAGAAAGAAAGAAAGAAAGAAAGAAAGAAAGAAAGAAAGGGGCCCAGATAGACAGTATAGCAGGTAGGTATTTGCCTTGCATGTGGCCAACCTGGCTTTCAATCGCAGCATCCCATATGGTTCCCCCGCAGGAGAACCGCCAGGAGTAATTCCTGAGTGCAATCAGGAGTAACGCCTGTGCACTGCCTGGTGTGGTCCCCAAAACAAACCAAAATCAAAACCAAAAACACAGGGGAGGGGAAGTGCCCCGGGTTGAGAGGAAATCCGCATCTCAGGGGCTCTACACTCCATTGGAAAGCAGGCCAGTGTGACCCAGGTAACAGCACTGGGCTCTAGTGCTGAGACAGCAGACAATCCCAGTGGAAGGCACCCCACTTTCTCAAGGACACGAGCGGGGCCAACCAACAGAGAGTTCTGCAAGACATCCAAGTCTGACCTGCACAGGGCTCAAGAATGAGAGGAGGGTTCCATGGTCCTAGCTGACTGTCCCCAGAGAAGAATATCGCATCATGGGGCTGGAGGGATAGCACAGTGGGTAGGGAGTTTGCCTTATATGTGGCCGACCCAGGTTCAATTCCGCCCAAACATCCAAATCGTAATATAGAAACCATTAATGAGTGTGATATACATTATATTTAAATTGGCTTTTGTTTTCTAGGTGGGGACGGGCTACACTAGACTCGTACACAAAGGCTGCTCCCAGCAGTGTTCAGCAGACCTGTGGCAACCAGGGAAACGCGGTCTTCTATGCAAAGGATGTGAGCCACCCTCTAGCAGTCTCCTGGGCCTCTGAACTTCCTTTAACAACTATTCGTCAAATGAATCAAATGTTCTTGATTTTGGGAGTGCTGGAAACTGAACCCAGGGCTCCATACATGCAAGGAAAGTGCCCTACCACTGAGCCACACCCCCCAGCCACCAAATCTGTAGTAGACATAAGTAGCCCCTGGGCTCAGGAGATGCCCGAAAGGGCTGGGGTGCATGCTCTGCACGCAGAAGCCCAAGAACACTTCGCAGTGAACCACTGGGTACCGTGTCCCCCATGTAAAGGTGGTGCCAAGGCTCAGTTTCAGAAGATCAAGTGCGCACACCGCACAGGGGAGGCCTAGTTTCCACCAGCTATGGCCACCCCACCCTTGATAAGGAGGGGGGCTGGAAATGGAGCAGACCACATTATCAGCACCAGGAACGTATGTACAAAAACACATGTATGCCAATAAAATATGAAAAATAAAATCACTTAAAGAAAAAAAAATTACCTCTGCTTCTCTTTTTTTAGCCCGCGCTTTCTCTACTTCATCCATTACTTTCTGGGATTCTTCCACATTCCCTTCAGCTCCAAGCTGTTCCACTTTAGCCAATAATTTACCAATTTCTTCATTTAATTCATGAACACGTTCTGCCTGGAAAAGGAGAAACAGCATCACAGAAGATCAGGAACCAAAGCCAGACCAAGAAGAGGTTCAAACACTGCTAAGAAAAGAGCCTTCCAGTGGCCGCTGGGGTGAGACCACTGGGGGCACAGCCGGCATGAGCCGCCCAGGCCAGCGGCTTTGGGGAGGAGGCTGGAATAAGCACATTCGACACAGGAGGGCCTAGAAGGCACCACTGTGACTGGGTCACAGGAGAAGACAGTGGAACTCCTGCCTGGGGCTGCTCAGTGGCCAATGGCCGACTCAAGGATGGCAACGCACCAGCTGAGGCAGAACAACAGGGCGCTGGAGTCCAACCAAAACGGACTACAGCCTAAGTGCGACTGTCAGAACCTCCTGAGCTCGGAGGTAATCGGTTAAGTAGCACACAGTGGGACTGGGACTCAATCCCTGGCGCTTTATATGATCCCCGAAGTCCTGCCAGGAGTGATCCCTGAGCCTAGAGATGGAGTACGCACACTTGTGCATGACGTTAGGACAGCATTATTTAAAGGGATGCAACATAAACCCGTATAGCTTAGACTTTCCCCAACAGTGTAGGATCTAATGTAATGAGATATTAATTTTTTTTTCTTTTAGGGTCACACCTGGCAATGCTCAGGGGTTTACTCCTGGCTCTGCACTCAGTAATTACTCTTGGTGTTACTCAGGGGACCATATCGGATGCCGGGAATCGAACCCCGGTCGGCCACGTGCAAGGCAAATGCCCTATCTGGGGTTTATCTCCAGCCCCGAGATATTAACTTAAAAGCACTCATTTTATGGGGCTTTTCTGGGGGTGCTCATTTTTATAAACCCCATCTTTTGAGAACCTTATAGACCAATAAACAAAGGGGGTGGGAGTGGAAGGGCACAAGCAATCCTTTCCCTCACAGGTGAACTTATTTTCCTTTCCCTCTACCTGGCAAGCACTAATGTTGCCATTAGGACTCTTATCTCGGTGACATCACGAGCTGCTGGTACGAAAGGAAAATGGTTCAGCATGACTCACCATGATTAAGCAGCATGCTACTGGTCATAAATCTATCCAGAGAAATGAGAGCCAAGTCCACACAAAAGTGTGCACACAAGGGGCCAAATACTACAGCAGACAGGGTGCTTGCCTTGCATGAGGCCAACCAGGGTTCAATTCCTGGCACCCCACATGGCTCCCTAAGCCCAGCCAAGAGAGATCCCTGAGCACAGAACCAAGAACAAGTGCTGAGCACCAACAGCTGTGGCCCCTAAACCAAAACAAAAAAAGATCACCTTAACATGAGTCTCAGGGAAGCACACTGAACAGAAAAAAACAATCTCAAAAGAATACATATGAATCTGTAGTGAGGACACTACGAAAGTCACTTGCCTTGCACACAGTGGGACTGGGACTTAATCCCTGGCGCTTTATATAATCCCCAAAGTCCTGCCAGGAGTGATCCCTGAGCCCAGAGATGGAGTACGCACACTTGTGCATGAAGTTAGGACAGCATATACAATCCGTGTTAAGTCTTGGGAATCTCCAATGTCAATGATCTCAAAATGAAAAGTTAACTAGGAGTAGCACCGTAGCACTGTTCTCCCGTTGTTCATCGATTTGCTTGAGTGGGCACCAGTAACATCTCACAACAAATCGTGAGACTTGTTACTGTTTTCGGCATATCAAATACGTCAAGGATAGCTTGCCAGGCTTTGCCGTGAGGGTGAGATACTCTCGGTAGCCCGCTGGGCTCTAACTAAGAGCAGTGAGCATAAATAAATGACTTTGTACTAGTGAAACGATTAAAATTCTTACCTTTGCAGCCACTTCCGCACTAATCTCTTCTTGAGTTTCTGCTAGCCTCTTCTTGGCCACTTCTGTCCTTCGATCACAGTCAGCAATGAATGACTGCAGATGATCCATAGCCTGCAAAGCAAAGGTTAGTCAGCAAGAGGAGTTGGCAGAAGAGACGCTGCAGGCATGAAGGCAGCTGCAGTGCAGATGGCTCACCCTGGGGCAGACCCTGATTCGACCCTTCCTCCTATGTGGCTCCCCAGACACTGCCAGAAATGACCCCTGCAAAGAGCCAGGAGTAGCCCCGAGTAGAGGCGGGTGAGCCTGCCCACCCCTTCCCTCCCCCCGCCCCCCTTTCCAGGGAAGTTCATCCCAGAAAAGTGACATTATACAGAAACAACTTCATTCCACGTTTGCCACTGACTATGGCCCAGAAGATGTTTAGTGGCTGGCAGAGCTGGCCTGAACACCTGGGGCAACATTGACTGACCTAAAGGGGCATTTTAGAAGTAGTTTTATTAAATTTTAGTATGAAAGGGTCTAGAAAGGTAGTACAGCAGGTAGGGCACTTGCCCCACACGTGGCCAGCCAGGTTCGAAACCCGGCGTCCTGTATGGTCCCCAAACGCCGCCATAAATGATCCCTGATCACCGTGGGCGTGGGCCACCTCCCTCCCTGTTCCCCGATAAAAATTCCATCAAGGGGACTGGAGTGATAGCACAATGGGTAGGGCGTTTGCCTTGCATGCAGCCAACCCGGGTTCGATACCCAGCATCCCATATGGTCCCCCAGGCACCACCAGAAAAAATTTCTGAGTGCAGAGCCAGGAGTAACCAACGCCGGGTGTGACCACCCCCCCAAAAAAAACCCCAAAAACAAAAAAAAAACACTATCAGGAATTTAAAAAATAAATAAAAGCAGACTCAATGATTAACTGAAAATAGTATTTTCTAAGAAACTGGCATAGGAAAAACAATTGCCAGGAAAGTGAATTGGTAACAAAACCACTAGTTTCTTCGGGTGTGACTCCCCCACACCCCTTAAAAAAAAAAAACCAGGATTCATTCAGTTCTTATTTTCAAATAACTAAGTGTGCCTTATTACTACCCTTCATAAAATCACCAAACAAAGGTAATTGCTAAAAGCATTTTCCTACTCAAAGAAATGGTATCATATGTAATATACTGGACTACAGAAAATAATTGAACCAGAAGAAGTAAAATCACATACGTCGAGTTCAAAGAAAAAATCTTGTTCTTTGGATGCGATTTCATAATCCGCTCTTAGAGCCAGGTCATGCACTTTCAGACATTCTCCAAGATCCATTCTCTAGAAGGAAAGAGGGAGAGACACGCTATTAGAAACACTGAATGCATTTCTCAGACAGTCATCAAGCACAGTTTTATTTAAAGATACTAAATTATACAGTTACATCTCCTTAAAGAGCTTGCAAAATGGAATTTCACAGCAAAGTACAAAAACATGGTAGCAGGGGAAAAAAATTCTGTCTACCAACAGATGGACAATGATCACCCCCATATGCACCGTCTTTCAGAAGCTGGAAAACAACCTTCAAGGTCTCAAGGCTTATTTCACTGGTCTAACAGCAAAGGCAGTTAATTTAAACTAAATAATGTGCAAAGAAAATCAAAGAATTCCAGTTTTCAAACAATTATTTGGTCTCCAGACAAGACTTACGGAATTGGGGGCTAGAGCAATAGCACAGCGGGGAGGGCGTTTCCCTCGCATGCAGCCGGACCTGGGTTCTATCCCTGGCATCCCATATGGTCCCCCAAGCATTGCCAGGAGTAACCTCTGCATCGCTGGGTATGACCCCAAAACCGCCAAAAAAAAAAAAAAAAACCCCAAAACCCAGACTCAGGGGATCTAGCTAAGAAGGTAGTTTAGACTTCCCGCTAGCTGGGCGGGCACCTCCCTGGGACTACTCCAGAACTCTCCCTTCCCATGGGCTTCCAGCAGCCTCCACAGCTGACCTGCACTGCATTAAGGGCTCACACAACAGGCCCTGAAGTGCCCGGCAGCTCTACTCAACATATTCCAAGCTTGCGGTTATTCTGTGAGGACAGGCAGGAGACAGAGCGCAAGCCCCAGCTTAATCCCTCAGCACTTCCAGGGCATCAACTCAAAGACTCACCCCCAGCACTGCGAGAACACTAGGAAAGCAATGGGGAAAAACACAAAGAAGCCCACCCAGTCTGAGGCGCTAAAATATCACTGAAGACGTGTACACCAGCAAACCCTCAGACACTCTCTTTAGTGGACACTATGATGAGGATGTTTGAGTTCAAAGAAAAGACAGCACAGGAAGTCAGCAAAGCAGAAGAAAGCTTGCAAGTAGAAGTGAAAAAAGTACTAGCCAGAAATGAAGAACGTGGTAGGTGAAATAAAAAAAAAATAGAAGCTCTGACCAACAGAAAAACAGTTGCTGAGCAAAGACAGAGGCCCGAGAAGGAAGAAAACACTAGGAAAGAACAGAAGGTGGAAAACAGTCCAAAAAGAAATGAACAGTGTATCAGCGGACTATGGGATGGGTTCAAGAGGAACAACATAACAGGAGGGCAAATGTGAAGAAACAATACAGAAGTCATTAGTAAAAACCGGTGCCTGAGGATTACAGGCCAGAATCCAAGAAGCCTGAAGGGTCCGAGTGAAAACAGACCCAATCAGGAAAACCTCAAGACATCACAATCACAATGACAAAGCCTAGAGAGAGACAGAATCCTGAAAGCAGCAAGACCCATAAGGGAACCAAGGCACCAAGGAAAGCCCAGTAGGTGCAGAGCAGGTCTACGAATGAGATTTGATGAGTCAGAGAGTATGGAGGGATACAGCTCAATGCTAACTTTGTGAAGAAACCCCACCTACCACAAGCAGATACACTCTTGTTGGACCTAGAATCCTTCTACACGGGATTCTAATTGGACATTATCTGCAAAATCAGAGGGTTTTCTCATTCCTGAGACAAACCCCCCCCAAGTTTATTTTCACATGTTCTGGGCAACAGATCGGACCTCTCGAGGGGAGGGGGCAGACATACTTCAACAAGCTGCAGCGGGGATCAGTCAAGAGCTTTTGTGACTGCAGGGCAGCTGCACTACAACTAAACTTTCCCAATGAAACAAACTACAGGGTTCATGAAGCAGGATGCGAAGTTGAAAAAACATTCCTTTTGTTTTATTTGGAGACGCACCTGGTGCCGGGGACTGACCCTGGTGGCCGTGTGCAAGGCAAGCCCTACCCACTGCTCTGACTCTCCAGCACCACCTTTGTTTGTTGCTGCACAAAGAATACATAAAGGAGAAGCATAACAAAATACTACGGCAGCAAAATGACCCCTTCATGTAGGAAACGAGCACCCCCTCTAGCCCTGTGCTGTGCTAGTGCTAGGGACAGTGTGGCACAGGTACAGTCTCTGCGTTCACAGGGCTGACAGTCAAGAGAGGGCAAACAAGTATTACGCTATCACTGTGTCTCGACAGTGACCTAATACAATTCCAACGTGCTCATTTCTGCTCAAGGTTACCTGGGAACAGATGGGGAAGGAAAAACCTGTCTGGGGCCAGAGACCTGGAACACCAACTCTGCATGCAAGAACCGCAGCTCAGTTTCTGGCACCACCTGGTGCCCTCAACGCCACCAGGAATACTGCAGGGTGTGGTCTAAACAACCTTTCTGAAGGAGACATTTCAACTGGATCGGAAAGTAAAGGCCGGAGCAATACTACAGCAGGGAGGGCATTTGCCTTGTACATGGCTGACCCGGGTTTATCTCCCAACATCCCATATGGTCCTCGGGTACCGCCGGGAGTAACCCCCAAAACGAACCAAAAAAGACTAAAACTCATAGTAAGCAGGAGGCAGCCTAGAGTGATGACAAGGCTTGGACCTCAGCTTGGTATGCAGCATCTGAAAAACGGTTTTTGCCTTTAAACTGTGATCACACCGACTTAGAGATATATATTAGGAACTGGGCAAGCACAGTAAGAATAGTGGCTGAGGTGCTCCCTCACAAGCCACTGACCCTGGCTCGATGCCTGGCACCACTCTATGGCCCCTGAGCAGTGTCAAGTCTTTCCTGACAGAGCCAGGCAAAGCCCGGAGCATCACCATGTGTGGGCCAAACGCCTTCCCGCCGAAATAAAAACACATACTGAGGGGCTGGAGCAATAGCACAGCGGGTAGGGCGTTTGCCTTGCACGCGGCCGACCCGAGTTTGATTTCCAGCATCCCATGTGGTCCCCTGAGCACCGCCAGGGTAATTCCTGGGCGCAGAGCCAGGAGTTACCCCTGTGCATCGCTGGGTGTGACCCAAAAAGGGAAAAAAATAAAAACACATACTGAGAAAGGAGAGGAATCTCCTAGTGGAGGTTCTAAAAGTAAACCCCTCTACGTAAGAGCGCCAGTCGGGGCAAGAGATGCAATCTTAGGGGCCGGCAAGGGGGGATCCAGAGACTAGAGGTGCTTCCTGGGGGCGGGGGGGAAATGCAGCCAGTGTCTCCCCCCTTCCCCTCTCCCACCCCAGCTCCAGCCCTGGCCTTTTCTTTTCATCCCTCTCCCCCATGAGAGTGTGGCCCTGGCCATGTCATCGTGTTCCTGTGTCCCCTGCATGTTCCCCACCCTTCACCCCCTCCCCTTTTGCGCGGACCCTATTATAATAAATAAAAAAAAAAAAAAAGTAAACCCCTCTGCGCCAAAACCCACATTCTCTGTACTAGCTCATTTCAACAAGGCTACAAACGCAATACATAAAGGGTCTCAGGCAAGACCAAACTACACCAAGTTTGCCAGATATATAGCGAGTTTCCTCCAGGTTACTGAGTTTCCAGATAATGAAGAGACCTCTTAACACCTTTTACTCTAGACTATAAAGGAAAGAAATGAACCACTGAAGTTTTTATCCTTTTATGGCTAAGATTTCAAGACAAAAGAAGGTTCTCTACATAATACTACCTCAGCGGAGCTGGAGAGGTCTGCGGGGAGGGCACTTGCTTTGTGTGCAGCTGACCCGGGTTGGACACTCTACCATACTCCATATGGTCCCCCAGGCCTGCCAGGAGTGATTCCTGAGTGCAAAGCCACAGTAACCCCTGACCGCTGTGTTCGTCCCCACCCCCAGCCCCCAGTCATGGGACCAGACCAGCCCCAGTCATGGGACCAGAGCGATAGTACAGCAGGTAGAGAATTTGGTTTGCACATGGCCAACCTAGGTGCGATCCTGGGCATTGCATATGGTTCCCTGAGCACTGCCAGGAAGGAGTAATTCCAGAGCGCAGAGCCAGGAGTAACCCTGAGCATTGCCAGGTGAGGCCCTAAAAACAAAAATGAAAACTACACACACACCCCCTCAGTTCTTAAAAAAGTGATTACTCAAAGGGCTGCAAAGGGGTAAGGCATTTATTTGCTTTGCATGCGGCTGACCCAGAGCTGATCCCTGGCACCACTTACGACCCCGATCCCTGCCAGAAACAGTCCAAGCACAGAAGCAGGGACTGTGAAGTAGAAGAAGAGTAAAGTTAGGAAACCTTTACTGTAGACTACAAAGGGCCACCTCCGCTCTGCAGGCCGCAGCCCGGGACGGACCCCAAGAACCACAGGGCCCCACGATCACCACCAGGTATCGCCCCCCAGCAGAGAACGAAGAAAAGAAAACGCCATCAGCTCTCCAAGCCCCACTTCAGGAAGCATCAAAGCGGCTTCCCAGCTGTTCCCAGTCCTGCCAGGCACTGCAGCTGCTGAGCGCCGGCCGCCTCCGGCCCAGATGCTGCCCCCTCATTCCCCTGCCAGTGGTGGCTTAGGCCAGACGCCTGCCACGCCACACGGCTGCCTTCCCGGTCCAAGCGAAAGCAAACACATGGCGCTGCTGAACACAAGGCACACCGGAGAAAAACACCCAGAGACAGCTCAAAGGGCTGAGCACACGCATTGCGTGGCGAGCAGGCGTCCTCCCAGGACTCAGCACAGTGCCTGAAGAACGCCCAGCGGAGAGCTGGGTGGGAATCCGCAAACCGAACAATGTAGAAAACAGCACCAGGGTTACGGAATCCAGACCGGATCGGAGTTCGAATCCTGACTGTGTTATTCCCAGCGTGGCTCCCAAACGAAGAAAAACTACTACCACCTCCCCACCCCGATAAGAGCTGAAAACCAATATAGACACCTCACAGCCACCGCCACACGTAACTAGTCCCAGCTTCACAACTAATCTCATCAGAGGCGCCAAGGGATGAGGCTCGTGGGTCAGCGGGTCTGCAGGCTGTAAACTCTGGGGAGTCCTGTCCCACCACACCCACACCCCACAACCTCCCCACG